AGTAGACAAGCGCAAAAAAAAAACGTGGCTCAAGTATCCCTGCAGCGTTCAATTGCACAGTATCCCGGCAGTGCCCAACAGCTGAATATCCCTGCAGTGCTCAACCAGCAAGTATCCCTGCAGTGCCCAACAGCAGAGTATCCTTGCAGTGCCCAACCGCAGAGCATCCCTGCAGTGATTAACAGCAACCTGCAGCGCCCAACAGCAAAGTACCCCTCCAACCCCACAGTATCCTTGCAGTGCCCGTGGCAACGTCAACGTACCCTGCAGTGCCCAACCCACAGTATCTCTGCAGTGCTCAGTGGCAAAGTGTCCTTGTCGTGCCCAGCTCTTGACACGCTGATCCCCACAGCATGTGCCCCTGCAGTGCCAAACTGCAATATTCTTGCAGTACGTTTGCAGTGCTTCAAAGAAGACAGTTTAGGGGGGCAGGGCAACATTACATTTATTGTGCAATTATGGCTTTAGGGTGGGAATGCTCGACGTAAATATTTCAACTTACAAGGTGGCGATCGCCGAAACGACCCAAGTCCCGCCGCTGACCTTCACGTCCCATCACAAACATTTGACCTCTTCACGAGATCCAGTTGGCAGAACTCACCACTCATCCACTTGGCAGAAACCACCACTCATCAACATGAACTCCGATTCCATATCCTGCACTTGGGCACATAGCGATTCCACGACAGCGGTGGCAAAGTCCCACTCTACGATCGCAGAGCATCACAACGCCTGATTCGGGGCCCAAACTTCGTTGGGAACTCGCGAATGGGCTAGACCGCTTCTTAGAAAAGCCATCCTAGCAGCCTTCTGTCGAATCTGTCAAACAGCACGCCTCCAACAGGATCCGCTCCTTGTTCGCCATGCGTGGCGATCACCACGTCCGCTCTCTTCGATGCCCTGAGCGGGATCTCTTCGGAAGACCGGCCAGGACTAGCTTCCCACTGGCGCACCGTTTGATCTTTGTAGCGCAAAATCATAAGTTTTCATCTTTTAGGCATAATGATCTGTCAGATATTGGCGCTCAGAAATCGAACAAAGCTCTCCCAAGCTAGCCCGCCTGATGTGCCTGGGTCGAGCTGACCAGACGACAGCACCAAGTCAGTAAGATCAACAAGCTCCTCTTTCCTCTCCTCTTTATCCAGGTTGTAGTTCACCCGCAAGATCACGGGAGAGTCTGAAAATGAAAACTGAAGTTTCTTCTGATCAAAAATGGCACCATGGCCCGCCCCTTAAGGGGGAGGTAGGGTGGGGCGGGGTTTCAGACAAAGGGTCTGGAAGCTGCTGTTGTTGTCAGACCTTAGCCATTCCACGCTTCCTCGGGATTCTTGCAACGGCCAAAACCGAACTCATAGCTTAGGGATTCCAAGAAGACCGCCTCAACAGCGCGGCGAAGGACCAGCACTGCTCGCAGCAAAGCGTCTCTGCCTTTACGCGAGCTGCCGTCGCAACCAGGGCGAAGAAGGTCATCCGCGTCTGCCATCGTGTGGGTCCAGGACGCCATCTCAGGGACTCACTCAGGGGACCGAGCTCAGGCTTTATAGCGCGGAGCCTGCCGATGATCAGGCAGGCATCAAACGAGCCACAAGCATGACAGTTCAGCATTTTTGAATCAGGTGTCGAGCAAGCTTCCACAAAAAAACACACTCGATACCTGAAGCAGAACTGCGCATACAGTGTCAGCACAAACGACACAAAAGCAGCCTTTGCAGAACTACACACACAGAGAAACCTGGCATGAAAAGATCTAAACTCACGCGCTGGCCTTCACGCCAGTCGGGTACTGTCCTTATACCCATCGTGTCTTCTCCAGGATCCGAACCGAAGTGTCTGAGCCGGAGCTCCGTCTGTGAACCTTGGATTCAACTCTGCGATCTGCACCGAGCCGCGCTGCTAAGTTGGCGCCTTCACATCTGGACGCGGTCCAATGAACTCCGCAAACAGCATGGGCTTAGCCGCTGACTTGATCTCGTTTTCAGGAGTGGCACTGATGTTTGGGCCACCGTGGCCCATGCTGCGTCTCCCGGAGCTGTCACCCAGGCTGGCTGCTCCCGATCGCCTGGATCAGAAGTAGCCCAGATACGTGGCTGATCGTGAGCCACGTCATCGGAACTGAAACGTGGCCACATTTCAGACCCAAACGTTATAGTTGGCTTTACGAGGCGTGATCGCACACTCTCAGCGCAAAGCGCACTCTGGCATGGCCCCCTGCGATCATAGCACCACGAGGACCAATCAAGAAAGTCTGGCCACCACCTTCGAACGAGAAGACTGAGACTCTCCAGCCGACAAACGCAGCCGCCACCACCACCACCACCACCGCCACCGCCGCCACCACCGCCGCCGCCACCGCCACCACCACCACCACCACGGAGATCCTCGCCGTTCTTTGTTGCAATCCTTGATGAAGACTGAAGAACTCGTCCGCGAACTGCTGCTGCGCGGAGGTCCATGTCCAAGCGGAAGCCGCTGAGGTTCCAATGGAAAAGGACCTCATTTCCAGGGAAGATCTTGACATTCGTGTAGGGGGGTGAAGTGTCTGGGAGCATTGTCCGGATCCCACCCTCCACAGGGCGCGCCTGTCTCGCTGTCGATCAACACGGCGAGAGTCGCTCTCATGCCAGCCAAAGTACCATTCGCGGACAAACTCAAGCTGGGCGGCATGACCTAGTCCCGCTCCGTGAGCACACTGATGCTGGAAAAGTTGTTGGTTATGACCTCCTGCACCAACCATGCTGGAAAAGGCGAGGCCAGGCGATCTTTTTTGTCGACCATGATGATTGAAGCCCTTGGATCGGATCCCTCGTGCTAAGCCATTGATTCAGCGCGGCGTGGAAGACAAACTTCGTATGGATCTCGATGACGTCGACCTGCTACTAGCCACTGGAGCCAGACGCTTGTCCATGAAGGAACGGCAACCTCAGCGTCCCATCCTTGATCCCATGGTTCCTGTTGAGCCATGTGTCCAAGCCCAAACCTAAACGAAGTACGTGAAAAAGCTTCGATCCAATACGATCATCTTGGTCCAACACGGCCAAGGAGACATGCAAGTTAGAACATGTCAGAACAGTTTGTGTCAGAACTCCATGAACGTACATCACTCGTGAACATGTCTGAACAGACTGTCAGACAGCGAAGAGAACTAGCAGACCGCCTTGGCATGAAGTGCCTCTTGTATTCCAGACCCACCCAACCGTAAATAAGAGTAAGCACAGCAGCATGATTTTAAGGATGTCAAAGATACTAGAAAAGAAACATGCAGTGGCCTGGATCGAGGATACAGGGTTGTCTCCAAGGCCCAGTGCTTCGCCACCCGCTTTCTTCCTCAGCAGTACTGACAGCTTCGGCGTGTGTTTCTGCTAAACTTAGTCATGCTTTGCCAGTCCTCGATTGTTGTTGAACTGCCGCTGCTCCATATCATGAAGGTAGCATTTAAATCATTTATGTGTGCCGACCTCTTCTATCCCTGCCCACATGTCAGTGTTTCATCATGCTCTAGCTCAAGACATGGTTTCTACTCGAAGTCGAGATGCTAAAATTGGCTCCCCGACCCTCACCTCTTCCTTGAATCTCTCCTCCCCTATCCCTCCCCCGCGAGATGCCCTCAATTTGCAGGTTGAGGACGCCCATTTCAGACCATTTTGGGAATCAGGAATGGGCCCTCTCCTAGACTGAAATGGGCTCCTCTGGGGGTTTGCCGACATAACTCATACAGAACCGGATTTTGTAGTGCAAAAGCTTGCCCACGATTGGGGATTCCTCTTACGTTAATCTATACTAAAGGTACATTGCCGCCCAGTACATGGTGGAGCTTGACCTCGTGAAAGGTCCAGAGGCCTGGTTTTGAGTTGGTCTGCTCCTTTGTTGAATCTCGCGTAGAGGTAACACTGCCCCAAGTACAAGTGACCACCGTAAACCTCTTGGCATCGAGAAACTTCGTTGGCTTTGGTTACCCCAACCCCTATAGTAAGGACCCTATAAGTGCTCTACGTCTGTAAAAGGGTTATCATGAAGTGACCGAAATTCCTTTATTTCAAATCCTAAACCCCAAGCCCTCGACTCAGGAGGGGTCTGAAATGGGTTAATTAGGCCCAATCTCAGGCCCCATTCGCGTTTAACCCTCGGGGCCTTCCATCCAAGCCTCCTGTTCCAATTTCCAACACGCAAGCAGTGTTGCCGGCGCTTGGCGTCAGCCCCTAAAATTCAGACATCTCACGCAGGCAAGTCTCAAGTCCTGTGCGGAAATTTTACCATCCTTGTCGGCATCTAAGCTGATGAAGAGCTCACCTGCATGCATGCTGGCCGCCTTTTAAAGATTGTCAGTCCAGTCAGCCATGGATGTGTGCATAGCACCACTGCAGCATCATGAACAAAACGAGTTGCGGCTGTTGGCAATCTGGTGGTCTGACCTTGAAGGAAAGGCAAGGAAGACCAGCCCACAAAGGAACACAGAGGCGGCTCACAACACTCGGCCAGCTTCGTTCGGCTAATCCCCTATGTTGCATGCCGATGCCTGCACTCTCTCTATGTGCAAATAAAATCCAACCAAGCTTCAACATGCTCACCGCAGTGCATATGACAGCCCGCTTGAACCTCAGTTTTCTTCTGTGTCGCTTGGAGACTATGGGCAGCATGCATGCGCAATCAAAATCACATCTAGAATTCTACGCATGACAGGACCGTTCTAGCCTATCAGTTGCAACTCGAAGACGCCGAATGTCCATGACTGAGCACGCCGCGGCTACTCCATGGTGACACCCCCAGCTGTCAGCCTGGATCCCTCAAACTACCAAACGTCACGAGGATGGCCTGCGACTACTAGCCTTTGGGACAGAACCGCCATCCGCCTGACTGCTAGCTCTTTTCTATTCTCGCCTTGCGTAAACAACGCGAAACTTCATAGAACATCATAAAACCCTACAGAACCTAATCGCAAATCTATCAAATGCAAACCCCACAGCTGATGGATGGATGGATGGATGGATGGAGGGAGGGAGGGAGGGAGGGAGGTATGGGATGGATGGATGGATGGATGGATTGATGGATTGCAGCACAAGCTCCAGCCGCTCACAAGTGGAGCTGGCAGGGAAGTAGAGCCAGCTGAAGCCACCAGGCAGGGCAATGAACGGGAGGGCACGACAGCGCGCCGCACGCGCAAATGCCGTAGATCACAAGGCGGGCCCAGAAGCCAGGACAAAACACGAAGGAGTGGGTTGCACTGTTGCTGCTGCGTAGAGACAACAGGCGCAAGGAGGCTGGGGTGCTTCCCGGAATTCGGACCCTCAGTGCAGCCCTGACCTCCTGAGGCCCCACCTCCAAAGATGCGCTAGAGTCCGCTAGAGCAGGGGGACACACACGACGAAACCGATTTCAGCCGTGTGAACATCTGTATAAATCCTCTGAAAGCCCGGATAAATCGAATGGTAAACCGAACCCCGGGCCAATACCACTGAATTTCAGGAGATCTTAGAAGGATGCGGGATGGTCTCAGATCGGACCAGGAAGGTGGGGCGAGGACGATCACAATTGTATGGTGCCCAGACCAGACCGTGGATGCTTTGCGCATATGAATGCACCAGATTTCCTGTGAAGCCCCATATATACTCACCAACCTGCCTCACATGAAGTCAAGTGACTTGTTGAAGGAGCGGAAAGTGCGCAGCTCCTGTATGAAAAATGCCCTATGATCGAAACATAAAGTCACTGACACCTGTGGTTTCATCCACATGTCCACAAATGTAAATGCACGAGACAATCCATGTGTGCTCCCATGAAACCATCCTGTTGTTCTTCTTGATTGTCTGGGCTCCTGAAGCAGATTTTCATGCGTCGTTTGAGGAGCTTTGCCATCTGCCAGCCATTCGTCTCGTACAGCCTTCCTTGGTAGCAAAACCATGCTGAGGCCATGCTCGTAGGCATGAAGTCCGAGCGCTGAATTGGTCAGCCTACTGAATGGCTAATTGTCACGTAGACTGGCTCTCCAGCACTTGTAGGGTACAATCGTACTCCCTGGATGTACTGATTTACTTCACGTGGGGTGAAGGTCTTCCCTTGCTTTATCAAAAATGCCTTCCTGCTGAAGTGAAAACGCCCAGCTTCCTCGCGGAATATCGGCTAGAAGGCCGCTTGCAGAGCAGCATGCCTTACCGGACCCCTTTCCAAGTGAGCGGGGAAGGGGCGTAAATGGCCTCAAAGGAATACTGACTACTCCGGTTTCACCGGCTTGGCCTCAGGTCCTTGAAAAGCAAACTTCTGCTGCATTGGAAGAACTGCTCCTTCTAGCAAGTTGCTGGCCCTTGCAGTGCATGTGCATTGCCGTCAATCTTGGTTGCCGTGCACCCAAACGTCTCTACACAGTCAGCAGGCATCTCGTGACGCAGTTCCTAGTACTGGCAGCTCAAAATGCCAAGCGGCTGAGGAAGGACACGGCTTGCCTCGATGGCACCAGCTTCGCACGCAAGAATCGAAGGAAATTTCAGGTGGGTAGTTTCCCGCATATGTGCTCCTGCCCTGTGTCCAAGTATCCCCCCACCCCCTGGCTTGCTGCAAAAGTGCCAGCAGTCACAAATGGGGCTTTCGGGTTGCCACCCTCGTAACCGTTAGGACACCTCATAGTCGCCATCTTCGACTCAAAAGTACCAACAGTGACAGTTATCGGGATGGCCCTCATCGCAATCCGCACGAGCTTGAAAACTTCTTATCGTTGTCGCGTTTTAGAAGTACTCACAGTCACGAGGATCGTTGTGGTCCTCATCGTATATAAGCCTTCTATACAACCATAACCCTCTGCTAACCTTCTTGAAATCTTCTGCGGACTGTTCTAAGCCGCCTATGAACACTCTAAAGCCTCTGTAGATTCTCCATGTAAAGCACAGGACCCCGGCCACAGGCCACAGCACCACCAGCGGTGAGCGGGTGACTTGTTCTAAACAGCAATTCCTCCACGAAGCGGCGCGACCCAGACGACAGGCCACAGGACCACAGGAGCTGGGGGGGAGTAATAGTTTAATCAAAGCTTAGAGCCTAAAAGCCCAGAAGATAGCCACCGTACCAGGGGGGGAGGACAGGGGGGCCGCCGGGGCGTGAGCATATATACCTTACATAGCTCTTATATACTTGTAGGCGCCCCTCATGAGCCTTACATTTGCTTTATGTAAGGGTAGCCACCTGGTAACTCACCACCTGATATTTCCTTGAAACAGGCAGGTCACAAGCAATTGGTCTAGCTTTGTCAGATGCATGCTTAACATTTAACCAGACGCGACTTCACGAAGGTCTCTCGGACCGCATCCATCCCCACGACTGCTGCTTAGCGTCGTAGACATTGTCTCCCAAACAGAATTTGTCATCCTGTACCTCACACTACGCAGGCACGAACAACAGCTACTGGCATTGATGCCGTGTCTTCGTCTTAGTACCCGGCCTACCCTTCTTGACCTCCTCTTCGTTCTTGAAGGGGAGCTCTCCAACAATCAGGTAAAACCTAGATCAAGTTCAGCTGCCGACTCACCGTTGAAAACCACAGCAAAGAAGGTAACAGGCACCATTCCGCCACTGCATGCAGAGGCTGCTCGCTTTGCTGTACGGGAGTCAGTGTCAGTGAACCACGTCACATCAGCGATGCAATTTGTCGCGAGTACCCGAACAATTCCTGAGGGCATGTAGCCCATCACCACCCCTCCTGCATCCACCGTGCGTGTGCAACATTGTGTGCAATGCCTGCGCACCCGCCCAGGCAGGAAAGCAAAATATCGCTACCAATACTGATCTTGGCACGAGTAAGGAGACTACAACACTGACAAGGGCACGGCAATGGTAACATGAAAACAGCTCGTGGGAAGACAAGCTCGCCTACCTACATCTTATCAGCCAGGTACTGTACCTTCTAAAACACCCACATACAGCACCGCAACTATGCGAGCCTCCACAACACAAAGAGCACTGTATACGATGCCATAAGAAGAATCAAGACATGAAAACCACGATAGGAATCATAGCTTCATCGCATTACTAGGAGTTGTTCGCGGCAGCAAACCAAACAAGCAAGGCAAGAACAGTCAACGGCGGGAGATCTTGCTCTACTCTTCACTTCGCGACTCTCTCTTTCATATGTAGTCCTGCTTGCACGAAAACCTCAGGAATCAGCTAGAACCTTGGCAATGACAAACTTTAATCTGGAAGCTCTCCAGAGAAGGTACTCAACCAAGCCAAGGAGCATCATAACGCCGCAGCTCCACAAGTCACACTTATGATTGTAATACCTGCCAAGAAGCTGATGCTGCCCTTCTACCAGCAAGAGAAAGCTTCAGACATGTTTTCGCAAAGACTCAGCATTGGCAGACTATGAAATGTCCCTTCCTGGGGAGGTGCGGGACATTAAGACTCGGTGATTGCAAAGCATGAAAATCAGGATCAAAACAAATCGAATTTAGTGCCGGCGAAGACCCCAAACAGCATGGGTGGAAAGCAGGCGAATGAAAGCGCGAATGAGAGTTATAGTTGGCGTTCAGCGCTTCTCCGATTCGAATGCGCAGGACACACCTTGCAATAATTCAACAACTGCAGATTAATTTGCATACACATATAAGACTATTGGCTTCTGGATTTTGTCCTTTTCTGGGCTTCGATTCCGCAGGCTTGAACATTATGGAATGATAGTCTGAGTCTTGCATCGCTGGATTTAGTTTGAAGGCTTCGGGCAAAGAATATCAGCATTGCAAGACATTATTGCAGCTAAAGGCGCTTTGAATCTCAAAGGTTTGGGGTTTAGTTTTGAAGGGTCCAGGTGTAGGGCTCAGGGGTTAGGATGGAGACATTTTGCTCCCGTGCTTTAACCTGGCAGCTTTTCGGGTTAAGGGGGCACGGCTGAAAAATCAGGATGGAAGCATCTTGAGCCCGGCCTCGAGCTGGCAGGTTTAGGGTTTCGGACGTAAGCTTGAGAGCTTCGGGTTGTGGTCGGAAACAAGACGTGTATCGGTTTTATAGCAAAAATTGTAGCAGAAATTGTTGTTTGGATTGGCTGACTCTATTCGTACTTGGTTGGTTCTCAAACTAACAACTCTACATTCAACATGGCAGTTACTACCATCCCAATTATCATCACCATCAACGAAAAACAAAATTTGCTCAACATGATCGTCTGCTTCCGTGTCGTCGTCGTCATCATCATCATCATCATCGGAAAGCATGTCCGCGGCATTTGGATGCTAAATAAACACAACTCTTATGATGAGCGCCAGTGTTGCTGCCACGGCATCGGCCAGGTCATAAGCATGTTGGGTGTGACCGCCACATTGCATATGATGTAATTATGTATTTCTTCTGGGCATGCTCAAGCATGGTATACCATGTTTTACTACCTTTATTCGTTCCTTCGTTCATTGGATAATTCATCCGTCATTGTTTTCAGTATCATATTAGTCATGATCATCCCCAACAAACCTTTTGCTCATTCATGGTGATCGTTATCTCATCATCATCACCATCATCATCATCATCCGGAAACCAGTGTTACACTACTGCCGTACTCCAATCAAATGCGGGGGCAGGGACCGAATTAGCGGCAACGATGCCACTGCTCCCACCGGCCTCCAGCTCGTGGGATTCAGAAAGCCTTATGCAAATCCAGACAGTTCGGATTTTCAGGTTACCTGCCTGTACTCACGGGCTTCCAAACCAAATCCCATAAAACAATCCTGGCTATCCACATTCAGATGATTTGAGAGTTAAGCGGAAATCGCATGGAAATCCCATGTTCATGCGCTTTGCGTTCTGTGCCCCCCGCCTTTCTTGATATGGCCCCCTGACCCCCAACCCGGGCCTGTCAGAAGTGTGCACAGTCACACGGATGGTGGGTGTCCAGCTCATCATCTTCATCACCGTCCCAGCTATACGGACTCAGGAGGTTTCGAACAACACCACAGGAAACCCCCCATTTTCATGCTACATAGACTCAGGGAAAATACGAGGATATCCCATTAACACACCTTTTTAAGGATAATCAATCCCCATGTATCCCATTAATCACTAGAACATCTGTTTAATGAGTCCCCATGTAAGATCCGAATCTTCAGACTATACGAACCCGGGAAACTCCATTAAAAAAAACACACACACACAGCCAATCCGCATTGTCAAGTTTCATCAGCCCAGGGCATCCAAGAGCATACTGTATCACATTTGAAATCCAGACTTCGGGCGGGCTCACGTCAGCCCACAGCTCCCAAGCACGCACCGATCATCCAAAGGCAGATCCATCGGGCTCACAGCTCCGAGCCACACGCCCCCATCTCGCTGCCGCGGGCTCAGGGCCTGCCCACATCGCCGAGCCAACCGCGCAAATCCGCCGCGGGCCCATGCCAGCGTAGGTCGGTGTCGCGTGACGCCCATCCAGCCGGCGCGTTCTTCAGGGGACCCCAAACGTTTCCTATTGGCGTAAAACCAATTCTGTTAGCACTCCAGCGAGGAACCGCTCGTTATGACTAAACACAGAATTCATAACAAAGACCCGTTTCCACGCGTAACCGCTGGCTCAGCAGGCCAACGGAAATCAAGGAAACATGGAATTTGTGAGGCCTTTTGGCGACGGACGTAATAACAAACAGCCTTGTTGCCTCTGAACCGCTGCTCTAGAGGCTTTCGCTCGGCCTCCGCGTTTTTCGCGAGCCCACCGCAGGCTCACCGTGGGCCCATGGTTCCTGGCCGCGGGCCGCCCATCTGGCTGCTGCGTTCCCTTTTTCTTCTTTGCAGGGCAAAAGCGGGCCCACCGTGGGCCCACAGGTCCGCGGCGCATGCAGCCCATCCAGTCGCCGTTTTCTTGCTTTCTTCTGCGGGCCCAGCACGGGCCCACAGGTCCTCGCAGCGTGCAGCCCATCCAGCCGCTGCCTTCTTCTTTCTTCTGAGGAGCGGACCCCAAACGTTTCCTGTCTGGGGAATGAAGAAAGGATAGGAAGCTTTGCGCGAGAGGTTGATTTTCCCAAAAACCTACGCCTGTTCGCGGCGCGGCGTGTCATGACATTCCTGCGTGGAGCATCCTGAAATTTTTGCTCGGAATCGGCAACCTTCTCTCAACCCTCTCTGTGTTTGCGGCGCCTCGGACGCTCCTGCGTGGAGCCTCCTCGTTTTGTCCAAAGACAACTGAATGAAAATGCAACACCTTTACCATCTGCATGGAGCGTCCTCAGAATGTGGCTCAGAATGCACACCCTGCCGGGTGTTCGCCTCCAGACTCAGACGCTCTTGCATAGTCCCGAGACCAAGCCTTCGGTACCGCCAAGGCCCCCGATTTACGGTCTACAGTTTTAGGTTTCTGGGAACTCGAACCGCGTCTCCTGGGCGCCAGCCAGATGGCAATTGACAATTGAACTGAAGTTGAACTCACGGCACAACATGTTCCCGTGGAGAAGTGAGGGGTCAAAGGGCCCATGCTGGCCACCGCGGGGGAAGTTGGTCGCAGAGCAACTTTCCCTCGCATCCCAACAAACTTGAGCCTTTAAGGTGCGAGTGCTTTCTTGGGTCTAGACCGTCAGGCATCGCACACGACTCTCATGTCTCTGGACATCTGGTGCGAAAGCCTTTGGAGTCGAGGCCTTAGTAAAAAATATGCCAGCAGATCCCAAACAGCGAAGGACCACTGACCATGCAAGCAAGCACCCGTTCAGGATAGTTGAGGACCACTCTCATGACCCGTCGCAGGATCCCTTCCGGACTATTCCAAAGACAGAGAAGTGCTCCAACAGCACTCACGGGACTATGCAGAAAACAATTTGTGGACCATTCCAAGGACCACTCCAAGAGCACTGTCCAGACCACCCCACTCACCACTCCAAGACCACTTAAAGACCACAGCAAGACCACTTCCCAAGACCACTCGAAGACCACTCCCAAGACCACCTCGAAAGCAATTGCAGGAGCAATTCAAGAAAACTTGAGGACCACTCCAAAGACTACATGAGGACCACTCCAAGAGCACTCCATGAGGCAAGGGCTTCCACCTCTTGCTGACTCGACCACGTCTAAAAGTATGATCGAGGCCCTCGCGCCAAAATTTAATCGGACTTCGACTTTCGTGATGCCCACCATCCGTGCTCGTACGTTGTCATTCCTACAAATAAACAAATAAACATATACCTCACTACGCGAGAGCTCGATTTTCCCAAGATTTCCCAAGGACATACTACGCCAGAGGGGGTGAAAGAACTCCGCGGTTGGGGGTTTACAAACTATGTGAGGAATGTGGCAGTTAGTTGATGACTAATAAACATACAGGTCCATGTGTTAAAAGAGCCCAGGGGGTTGGGGGCGCAGCGAATCTGTGGAATGTGGCACTTCTTGATGAAGGTTCACTACTAGACACGATGCGGCCTCATGTTCAAAAACAGCAGAGAGTTGGGGGGGATTTGCAAACCACTGAGGAATGTGGCAGTTGCTAACAAGGCACTTTTAGACACCTCATGTTTCTTGATCGAAATGATGAAAATGATGGAAATTCATGAGAACCATAGAAATAGTGAACATAATGAAGAACAAGGAAAATCTACTCAGTTCAAACACATGATGAGGATTGATGACATGTAACTTGGAAAAAGCATGAATATAATGAGAGCATGACAGATGACAAAATATGAGTAAACATGGAAATGATGAAACATGATGGAAAATGTTGAAAATGCGTGAAAATGCGTAAAAATGCGAAAATTGTGAAGGTTGTGAAAGTGGTGAAGGTAAAGACAAACCAAGTATATAGAACATAAAACTGATGACAAATACTGAAAATGAAATGATGGACAACTTTCCAAATGGTGCAACGTGAGAAGAGACAATGACAATGATGAAAACCGAAAAACTAAAACAATGAAGAGTTTAAGAAGGAATGAATATCATGAAAAAATATAACTCTGAAAACACGGAAAAAGATAAATGATGAAAAATGAGAAGCGCAAAAAAAAAGAAATGATCAAACTCGTGAAAATGATGAAGGTCCATGAAAATTATCAAAGAACGCGTATTTCATGATGAAAAGTTATGGCGTACCATGAAAAAATGAAAACATCGATGGGCCTGATGGAAATGATGAAAATCCAATGTGACACACCATGATGGAAAAACTACAGAAAATAAGGTATGTTATGATGAAATATCATGAAGATGTTGACAAACAATTGAATATGATGAAACAGATGAAACATGACACGCTTCCATCAACAGTCTGACTTACATACGCTCTGTCTCTTCGAAGGGGATGTGGACGAAACAAATCAAATAAGGATCTCACAAAAGTCAAATAAGGAGCAGCAACAGATCAAGTAAGGATCAATAAAGAATCAAAAGATTGCACTAAAGAGAAATCAATCAAAGGGAAAATCATCTCTGCCGCCAGAACAACAGAACACAAGTAAGGACAACCCAATTCAGAAGGGAAGAAAGGAAGGAAGAAGCAACAAACGACGGAGCAAAGGAGGAAGGCAGTGATGGAGGGAGAAGGAAGGAAGGAGGGAGGGAGGGAAGGAGGGAAGGAGGCGTGGAGGGGAGGAGGGAAGGAGGGAAGAAGGCAAGGAGGGAAGGAAGGAAGGAAGGCAACACAAACCTGGCGCCCTTCGACCCATGATTTTTGGTGGGCCACTTAGCGCATAAACACAACCTTGAAGGGGACAACGCTGCCCGTCCTCTCGAACACTTCTGGTGCCATGTGGCTCGGTGTTCCTGCCAGAGACTACTCTCGAATCAACACACAACAATATAGAAGTCGTGTTGACCATGAATTCATGCAGCTGCTAGACCTGAGTTCCTTACAGCTTGCAAACATGAAGACTTGGCAGGTTGCAAAACCTTTGTGTGAAGTTGACCAAATCCGTCAGACAGAAACAAAACAGCCACGAACCGGCCTCCCATGCTTGAAAGGTACTCGCCTTCCTGCGCTGGCTGCTTGAGTAAGGAAGCAAGCAGACAGGTCGCTGCATGCTGCTCCGCGCAAGGCGTTGATGACAAGCAGCATAATCACAGTGGAGGAATTGGAGCTCACAGGGGTGTACCCCTGAAAAAAATTGTTCTGAGTCCGCTTGCATAGCTCGCGTGCCTCTAGCAAACAGATAAAGACCTTTTCTGCTAGATCTACAGAGCTCCCAGCTCTCCACCGCAAGAATTGTGGCATCACCAGATCATGATCCATGTCGGGTAGTCGGCACGCTGCGCCAGACAACGTCCTCAACGATCCGCGACAGGCCGAAGTCAGACACTTTCAAAGATGTCCTGCACAGTCGAGGCACCAGCACCGTTGACTATGAAATCCACTAAATGAAACTCTCCTAACAATCGTTTCCTGAGCCGTGATGATTGCAAAGCCAAGGAAGTAAGATGCGCAGCAACTCTAGTAGCATCTGTCTGTACTGCTTTTGTGCTTGCTGATCCCTCAAGGCCTGCTAGGACAGTACGCAGACTGGGCATGGGTGTATTTCTTGAAAAGGCGATACGGAAGTGGGGCATGGTACTTTCTTCCACAATAGCAAAACAGAAAGTGATGCTGTGGACGCTTGTTTCTTTCAGAATTTAGGAATGCTTTGCGGCTATGATACTTCAAACAGTTAATATTATCAGCGAAGCAAGCGTTTATAGTTTATAGCGTTCCTTTCTGGCTTCTATACTTTCAGGTGGCTATATGGCTGCGAAGACATTTCTGGATTTAAATAGGGCCACACCCAAAAAAAACAAATTGTTAATCTTTTTGTTTTTTTGAGGGGGCGGATCGAAGATCTGAGATTCCACCAAAACTTCTCTGATCCAGGGACCTGGCCACCTAGAAACAAATGAAAAAATTGAGATGTCTATGTTTTTCTAATTTTTTTGGTGTGGGCAGATTCCTGGATCAGAGAAAACATTTGGAACCATCTCTGATCTCTGATCCGCCCATCCCAAAAAATAAAATTACGAACTCTAGTTTTTGTTTCAGGGGGCGGATCGAAGATCAGAGATTCCACCAAAACTTTTCTGATCCAGGGACCTGGCCCCCTAGAAAAACACTAAAATATTGAAATTTCTATTTTTTCTAATGTTTTGCGTGTGGGCATATCCCTGTATCAAGGAAAACTTTTTCGAACCATCTCTGATCTCTGATCCGCCTATCCTAAAAAAATCAAAAAACAAAGAATTGTTGTATTTGTTTACTTTTTCAGGGGGCGGATCAAAGATCAGAGATTCCACCCAAACTTTTCTCTGATCCAGGGACCTGGCGCCCTAGTTTTATTTTTAAAAACTTTTTGGTATGTGCAGATGCCTGGATCAGAGAAATTTTTGGAACCATCTCTGGTCTCCGACCCAAACCTCAAAAAATGCGTAGCTCCCTACACTAGAAAGCTTACCCGAACAAAATGGTTATTACTACTTAGCTACTCTGATCCACCCTTCACAAAAATTAAAAACAAGACTTGTATGTTTTTGTATTTTTTGGTGGCCCTATCTAATCAAAGATATTTTCAAACTTATTCCATGGCAATCCCATCCCAGAACTCCCTACACTAGAATCCAAAGCTTATCCGGAGAAAATCGTTATTCTTATTTGGCTATTTGCCATTGCCCAGTTCAAGTGCTTCGTCTGCATCTTGAATGTTTGGGATGTGCATATCCCTACACTAGGGAGCCCATTCTTCTCCACAATCAGCATACAATAGAGATGCAAATTGACTTGTGAGAAGTGGAAGCTGCAGTCCCTTGCCGGTTTTCTTTTTGATCGCATAGAAGGTCAACAGAACCAACTGGAGCTTGAGTTCTCTCCTCCTGTGGAGAAGGTTTTGTGCCTTTAGTTCAGATACTCTAACCATCTCTAACCTGTGTTCCTTCAAGCAGAATATAAATAACTGTTCTCCACAATCAACATACACGTGAGATGCAGATTGACTTGAGAAAAGTGGAAGCTCCAGTCCCTTGCCGGTGTTTCTTTTTGATCGCATAGATGGTCAAAAGAATCAACTGGAGCTTGAGTTATCGCCTCCTATGGAGAAGGTTTCGTGCTTGTAGTTCAGACACCCTTCTGTACATGTCAAAAAAACATTCTTTTGCGTAACTCATAACTATAGACCAAACAAGCCTGTTGCACATGGGTGTATTTTAGATTTGTGATAGGGTTTCATGGTGCTATCACTAATTCGAAACTACAACAAAAACAAGCGTCCAGAGCGTCCCCGTCCCGAGAGGGAAGAAAAATGTAAGTCCTGCGCAAGACCTCCGTTGGACCGATCTTCAGGAGGATATTGTCCTGAGAGGAATCTTGCTGGGGTTTTTCCATGCCTGCAGTAGTTTTGATCATGTTAAGTTGTGCAGGGCTTGGTTCAAGCACCAGCAGGCACTCAGGCTGCGTGCGCGCAGCACACAGACAAGCAAGCCCAAGCATCATTGTTGCCAGAACAATCCGCGGTGCTTAGAAGGGTGCTCCTGCAAGCCCTGGAAAAGGTTCTAAAGAAGTACCAGAATTCGCCAGGCTTTTAGTGAGTGATTATCAAATGTTACCAGCTCTCACTGAACCCAGTGCTGGTCAATCAACGGCCGGCGACACTTCTGCCTGAAAACCTAAAATCGCCCTAGTTGACTGCCCGTTGAAGGGTTTGCAAACCCCAAATTGCGGCTGAATGGGTCAGGTCTGGAGCTGTGGCATGGCCAGTGCAGGGCACAGGCACTGACAGGAATAGAATTTCATGAATTATAATGTTTTTTTTTTACACGTACGTGTGGGATTGAACGGGATGAGCTCGTGGGTTCTTAAGTCAGCATGGCAGACAACAGTGCCGAAAGCATCCTTTAGAAAGAGCTGCCATGCTCACCTTGCCATACCCTCGCAGCTCACCTCGCAAGTCCTCAAACTTACACAAAATGAATTATGATGGTTTTTTTTGCACGTACGTGTAAAAACAACATTATAATTCATGAAGCATGGGTGCAGTGGGCAAACAGTCAGTACAACAACTGGGCCCCTGTCTTCATCCTCAGGCAGAGGTTGGGGGCTGCATGCCAACGACGTTTAAGCGGCATGTCACTGTGCTAGTGTGCAGAACTTAGCTGACTCTCATGCTTTCCAAGAGGTTTCAAACACACTGCGTGATATAAAATCTCGGAATTCGCGCGTTAGCCTTGAGCTTCGTGAGCATTCTGTTGAAACGAGACTGCTCTGCTTCGGCACAGAGGCATTCGGCCGTCGAAATCTTCATTGTGAGCTAATGTTCTTAGGGAAGCTGCCGCATCAAAGTTTGTTTGGCAGCTCTGGAGACATGAGACGAGATGTGCATGCGACTGCACCGCATCCATGACAGATGATTGGGCTCCGTGTAAAAACGCCGCTAACAAGGCCCAGCGTCCGACTTCAGATCTCGATGGACAATGCTCAGCCTTATTGTAAGGTCTGTAGAAGGCACCGCATTTTATTGCTGACTACTCCGACTTTGATCGCCAAAACTGATAATCAGAGTCGCTCGTGCAGATAGTTCACCGCCCCCAATATCTGACCTGCCAGACACTTCACAAAAACTTGTGAGAGTCACTGCGGCGTACCATGAGTCCAACAAAATCCAACGAATAAGCGAAAGCAGACCGAGAGGTTTGCATTGCCGCACCATTCAAAGCAGACGGGCACACAGGGTTACAACTGTAGTCTGTAGTCACTGCTTGCGACGAGGGGACGCATGGCTATGGGCAGCTCCTTCTGTGGCAGCTGTCTGTTTGGCGCCTGGGCCATGACAGTGCTGAAAGCAAACCGATCATGACATGCCCGAAACACTGGCATTTCCCGAGTGAGTAACACTTTCAGCCTGAAAGATTGCAGCTTGGAAAGCTTGCAGGTCTTCAGCAGGCGTAGACAGACATGCAGATGGGCGCGCGAGGGACCGCCAGCGACGGAGAACACAAAGTGCAACGGAACAGAAAGAAGAAAAAGAGGAGTGAAAAATGATACTCAGACACGGCAGTGTGAAGCTGACGTGGTTCAAGGTCAGGCTGCAACAACATTTGTCTGTGACGTCTGTGACTGTAGCCAAGGCTCTGCTTTGATTCTGTCAGTGAGGCATCCGCCTGGGCAAAGCTCCATGGAAAGGTGGACGTCATCATCTTCAAAGATCCTTTGGAGCAGTTGCAAAGCTCAGGCGGGCATTTTCCTGTGAGATGGTCGACATGTTGAGGGCTGATGGGCAGGTCGACGCAAAGGGAGGTTGAGCTTTCACCTTGTCTAATGATGCCACTGCCATTCCGTAGGGCCTCTCAATTATCGCCAAGCTGCTCGAACAGCATGACGACACCTGCGATCCAAGATACCCCCAACTATCTATGTACATGCCAACGAGCCTAACAACATCTTGACACTGCAGTGTCTGCTGGTATCTTGCCTGGGTGATCCAGCATCTTCATAATTTCTATCTCCATCTTTAACGAGCCCGCTTGCTCCTTCCTTAGCAGCCGTCAAACAGGAATCTGAAGGCAGCTTGCTATGCAGCTAGTCCTGTCACTCCCCAGACATGCATCTCTCCGCATCACTGACACTGAAGCCATTTATTGAAGCCAAACACCAGCACAACACCCGACACACGATATGATCTGACGCTGAGACGCATCATTTCTTTGCTGATTGTCTTAATCGCCCTCCTTGCACCTGCGGCATTCCAGGACGTCACCACATTCCCGTGCGTCGTGCTGACACTCCACTTCACAACACTGCAATCCATAGGGATAAGCCCGTCTGCACCTGTGATACGGACGCGCGCAAGCCGGACGATGCCAAAGGCCCCCTTGCCAAGCTCTTTGTCCTTGTGTCAGGTTACAGAGGCTGCTACTTTGTGTGCCCAGCCATCCTGTCTCCCCTAAACATCCTACATCGTAGCTTCCAGGATAAGGATGACGCCGAAATTGAGAAACGATACTGTCATTCATCTGCGTGCTTGTGCCACACCTCTACTCTAAATGACACACACCAGTGCTGCAAGCATCTTCTAGTTTTGTAGGCACTCACAGGTGCATGGTTGGAGAATTCTACTGTTTGGCAACTTCTGGGACTATGGAGGCAACCAAGCACGGCAGGCCAGAATGTCATATCGCCCGCATTTTTGTATGCGTCTCAGTATTTAAACTTATGAAGATCAAGTGCCTGTCACAGGTCAGTGACACCTCAAACCTACGCAGCACAGTTGTCACATCATTTTTCCAATTCATCAGTCACTGAAAGATGCAAGCAAGAGGCCATTTTATAGACCGAATCCAACGGACCTTCGGCGTGCAGGCATATGGGCTTTAGACTGTCGATTGGGTCTGTCTTGCAGCTCGTCAAACTGTCCCATTAAGCGGTTGCGAAACTTTATAAGTTTCTTGACAGCCTTGCATGGCTTGCGGCCAAGCAGCTGGAATTGTTGATCACAAGCCTTGCTGACAGGAAAGCTACATGACCCAGTCCCCGGTAGTGTGATTATTGGATCCAGGTCATGTCCGCCGTAGTGTTTCCGACTGTACCTGTTTTGGCCCGTACTTAATTTGAAATATGCAAGTGGGCGTTCGGGCACTTTGCGGTCTGTCTGACTTGACAAATTAGTGCGCGACTCGCTGCAAACCCTCTGGCAATAGAAGCCAAGCTTTGAATGTCCACCGGCCCAACATCGGAACGTGCTGGATCCCAGTCTATGAGTGCTGGCAGGTTCTAAACAGCAAGCCAGTGCAGAGATATCGCTAAGTTGGCTTGATTTTTGGTGTAGCCAAGCAGCTGCAACGCTGCGGAAGGGATGTGACCTGAAGCTTTGCGAAAGCTGGCCATCTTTCTGGGATTAGAGTTGTGGACAGGGATCTTCAACTGCTGCACTGATTACTGCTGCATGATCTCGCAGCGCATCAAGGGGCCCATCGTTTCGACCAGCTTCAACCGACGATGGGAATGTCGGGCCGATGATCGGGTGCTCGCATCCTCAGATCTGGCAGGTTTCAGGGCTGAGCGGGACCAAGCATGAAATCTGGTGAGCGTCTGATGCAGCGGAGCTTGTAGACACTTCCTTGCCCACTGCTTCGCCGGAGTCGTCACTTCCATCGCCGTCTGAAAATTCACCGCCTCCCCGCACGAACACGAATCTTGCAACAAAGCGTCGGCCACCATCCGCTGTTTGACGGTGGCTATGACATGACTTAAGAATCCAATGACAGGAGCTGTAAGGACAACATGAACTTCGATCATCCCCAAGATTATCGAATCAGCACATCTGCACGTGTGAAGTTGGAAGTCTACAGGTAGAGTAGCATCGACATGGGATTCAGCATCCAAGTTACATCACTTACGCTGAGCATGGACAATTCTCACAGTTTGACCCGGCCTCGAGAAGATTCTGAAAAGACACTACGGCTGGTCCTGCAGATGCAGTCAGGTGACGCAAGGACTATAGATAGAGAAACCAAAAATGTGCCCAAGCAGGAGCTTGTCTTGCAGCCTGCATAGGAACCTGAACATGTGCATCACACCACCAGCTGAGACATCTGCGGAAGAGCCCCGCCAATTTCGGCTGGGGCCAATATTCAGTTGCCCTTTTTGAGACTGCCTTGCTGAAAAACCTTCCCTAGTGAACCCTGAACTCCATTTGCAAAAACAACTTTGAACGTGATGCCTGGCCCCGTCCTCCGCGATCTGCCCTTGTACTCTGAGCTGCATGCTGCTGCCCTTGACCTATGGGATTCCAGCTTCTGACCGTCAATGATTCACAAGGGCTGTGTTGCACTTATACAACAGCATGGCTCAAGCTTCCGCGAACCAAAGCGTTACATCTTAGCACCTCGCCTATCGCGGCTGGAGCATGCCCTAATTCAACCCTGACAACAAAAACCTGAGCTTGGCACGTGAGGCTGTATCGCAAGCTGGAGGGGCTTGCCTTCAACAACAGTGGAATTGAGCGCCGATAGGTGTTGCACTACACCTTACCGGGCTCAAGTCTGAAACGTCGTAGCTAGGCAAATATGTTCAGCGACACATACTTGCTGGCCTTGGATTCGGCAATGCCCACCCCAACCAACGACATTTGCTACTCATGTGAGGCGAATTTGGAGCTACATCCCAGACTACATTTTTTCCAGCTACAGCCTGCAAAGGTTCCAAACATTTTGAAGCACGTTCGCATCTTCTCGAAGACTTGTGCCCATCCCAAGTTCCGTAACAGTTGACACCGCGCAGGCCTCGGAGTCATGATTTGCGGTGACAGTGTAGAAGGTCTGGCGCAAGCTGTTGGAATGTGTACAACCATGAGCTTCACGATTGGGTTGGTGGTGCATTTCCCCACCAAAAAGGGGAGGGCCACAGGTACTAAGGTGTCATGTCAACAGGAACAGCATAAAGTAGACATTCCAATTTTGGTGGCAAATCTCTTCGGCAGCTCCATTGATCCTATCCGGAACGCTTCTTTTTTGTGTACGTTTGTGCTCAAACTTGAATTACAAGGCAAGGCCTGCCATTGGCATCGCTCTTTTTCAAAGTTCAGTGGGGAATCTTGAAAGTTCACGTGCAAGGGCATCAGATGTCATCAGAATCCAATAGAATCCAGGATGAACCCAAAAATCCCGGTGATCCCGGAGCCGAGCCAGGGCAACGGGCTATGCACAAATGGTGGGGTGCTACCAACCGGAATCCCACACAAAGTCTGCCTCCAAATTCTTGGTCACGAGATTCGGGATGGGAAAGGCCAGCCGAGGGGGTGGTTGGGAGCGAGTTCCCATCACAAATTCGCCCGGTTTGGTTCCCTTACATCGTTCGTCCGTTTCCATGTTCCCGTCGTCCCTCAAATTATTTTCCAATGCCTTCCTGTTGGTGATCTGTTTTCCTCTTGCGGTTGTCTTCCTCTACTCACAGTGCCCTAACCTTCCGCAACCCCTACTTCAACATGATTCTTGCAACTGAAAAGCTTCCGGGTGTAAGTTAATGTGGTCACCTATGCTCCCTCTCGTCTTCAGGGCAGCGTTGAGGAAAATTAGGTGGGTTTTGTGGACTCTTCTTTGCCTTTTTGCTGTGAGATGCTTGGCTCGCCGCCGGCTTGCATGGTTGTATTCTATATCGAGCGCTGCATAACTTCATGTTGTGCTCAATTCGTCTTCAACCATCCTGGGGGGCTGCAAGTGACATGGCCAAAAAGTCCCAGAGTGCCCTGAGCGCGTGGTCCTCCATTCTATAAGTGTACTCATTCCGATCCACACGAATGTCTGCTTCGCGTCACCAACCTGCACGCATATGGGGGAAGTGTGGCCCCGATCCGCCGTCCGTTTGCCTTTTTTCCCGAATGCGTAGCAGAAGGGTTCCCGTTTTAAGATTGGGGTCCAGGGGTCCAGGAGGCGACGCGAGGTCGTTGCGTTGTGTCCGCAAAGCGTCGCAAAGCATTCGCAAGCGTTCGCAAGCGTTCGCAAGCGTTCGCAAGCGTCCGCAAGCGTTCGCAAGCGTCCGCAAGCGTCCGCGGAGGGTCGGACATGCCGGAGAGACGAAAATCGTCGCGAAACGTAGAACT